AGAATGTCTCTTAAACAACCTGCGTAACGTGGAGCCGTAAATACTGATACTTATCGCCAGTCTTCTGCGACCCTTTACCAGTTGAGTTTTGGTGCACCAATAGCCATAAAGCAGGAGATATTTTATAGGCTGCTTCTACTACATATAAATGGCAGCACTTAGTACAAGTTCCACTCCACGCTGGTCTTCTGTGAGGCCGTGATACTTCCCCGGACATGCCATTTTTCCCACCACATTTGTGTACCTTACCAGAATCCCGTAATGGGTATGAAGAGGCTGCTCTCTGGCACAATAAGAGGAACTTACCTGTAAGAAAAAATAAACAGAATTAGCAAAACCGAATACAGTAGGCTTATATGATAAAATTTGTAATATGAGAAGAATGTATATCTCAAAGAACATCATATAGAACATATCAAGAGAATATATCTCATAACAACGTGCAAGCGTGTATTTGAATAGAGATATATTTAAATTAACGTGTACTACGAGGCCTAACCATTTCTTGGTTTTTATAATATCTATGTTTCGAACTTATACTTATGGTCTGAACTACTCAAAAGTCATATTATATTCCATGTAGCTCGAATTGAAATCTCCTGATCCTTTAAATGTGAAAGATTAAACTAAACATGCTTTTATTAAACCACTCCCACTCTAGATATTAACTCGAGACGTGACAAAAATTAAAATACGGATATGGGATCAGGTGTATCCAGGTTCGAACCCAATACACGGTGCACAATATCAATCACTTGAAAGGCACTAGTATCCCGTTGATTATAACGTAGATCATGAGACTACATTACCACACAACATTAAAGTTTACAGTTGGGATGATAACAAGCCCATCAGGACCAATACGCGTCATCCCTTCTCTTCCCCCCCCCCCCCCCCCCCCCCCTCCGTCCATTCTTCTCTAATCCCCCTCTGCCGCCAGCGCTAGATACGGGTCCCGCGGTGACTGACAACGCCTCAATTATTCACCGGGATACGTGCGAACACAGAAATTTCTCGAAAGTTAATCGAACGCGATCCGCGTGTGTGTGCCAGATAGTTAGGAATGGTTGCCTATCTCATTGAAGGCGTCACGACGAATGGAAACAATTTACAGTGTTCAATATTAAAGCCGCCTGTGCCCATATATTAGAGAGGATTAAGAAATAGATAATATGATTAACTAGCAAACGGGTGACCTGGTGCAATCTGATAACCATAACACCAGCTGATGTCACATCTGTTACCAAACCTCACCCGGTTACCTCTCTTACCGCACGTATCCCAGTCCAGCCTAGAATAGCCTACTTGAGACACATGAAGCAAGCGAAATTAATTAAAAATTTTAAAAAAAACTTGTGAACTTTCAAACAATTAGACGAACACAGATTTCCCAACATAAACTTATACCCAGTCAAACAAGTAACCCAAAATGGACTTTTTAAATACTTTCAAGGACATGTTTTCTACATCCAGTCGGTTCTTATGCGAGCAAAATAATCTTATCATAGAGTAAGGACGCACACAGGGATTAAAACTGTATTCGTATACATGTTTATGTGTATGTGTATGTTACATACACTGCAAAGTCGAATGGATTCAAATTCGGACTCAGATAGCTAAGCCGAATTACATTAGGGCATCTACACACTATCTCGCTACTTCCTTAAGACTCACTGTACCACTGTTGTTCTTATCGGGCTTATTTGTGTAACTTCTTACCACTTAATAGACTTTCGCAAGTAAACTAGGTAATAAATGAATTTATAAGTGAAAGCATTGTAACAAAAGAATTAGCATATGAGAATTACTTAAGAATTAATTACGTAATATGAAAATAATCTAAAGTTAACCATACGCATATTACCACTTTAATAGAACAAATTATGTTTTAGACGTGTTATCAATAGAATTTATTTTCTCATGTTACTTTTTAATACAAATCTCAATGTAAAAGAAATGATGGTGTCTCCTCACATCTTCAACCGAATTTGAGATCAATCAGCTCACGAGTTTGTAAGGTACATATTAACGTATCGTTAGCGGTACGTATCGTTTCCCCTATGTTTATTAAGGAAGCGTAAATACTCCTCATAGCCGTATAAATAGTAAAATAAATTCAAATACCTTTTGTGAGACGACAAAAACGAGAGTGATTCGACAACGCAAGAATGTACGAACGGTACCAACAACTAAGTCTAAACACATTTTTTTTAAATAGACGATATCAAAACGAATAATTATTATGTCTATAACTGCCATTTCAAACAGTACTATGGAGGACACAGAGAAAGCTCCGAGACGAACATTCTTGTTCGCAAGCGACGCGCGGTGTGAGAGGCGGTCACACTTGGCGCAGGGTCCTTTGGCGCTCCGGTATCTACGACGTTTAGCTCGGAGCAACGTTTTAACGTTAACAAAGCTGTTTCCGATCGATTAAGCCCGTTGAATACACACGAGGAGCGGACCGCGTTCACGTATTCCCAATGTACGACTCCCACTGTTCATGGCAGTCGAAAATAGGAAGTGATTTCTATGGGAATTTGGTCCGACTGTGATTACGCAAAATAATCGTCACGGGCGTTTTTGAGGCGAAAGATTTCTGAACTGGAATCGGAGCAGAATAATAATGCTAAAAGAAGAGAAGGAAAAAATAGAAACAGTCACATTAGTGATGATGTAAATGGGTATCGAGATTGTCAGAGCTCCAAATGTGGCAGACCACATTTGAAAGTAACAGTATCGGTTGATAGCAAAATATAGTTCGAGTGATAGTTAAAGCAGCAAACGAAGCGATGGTTCGATTTACTTCAATCACCATCATCATATTGTAATAGGTGATATACTCGTAGTCGTGAATAGTAGCTCAGTAGAACTAACGATTTTTGTGAAGGATCGCCGTTGGCAAATCCATCCAGTCGTTTATAGAACGATGAAGCAATTTCTCATTTATTTCCGTCGCAGATCCATCTCACTCACGTCATGAATAAAAATAAAAATAATTTCATTTTTAAAGGACGTTAATGTGAAAAATTAATTCAGAATAGACTGTGACAATCATTTATCTTTGATCGTCGGCTTCAGTACTTAATAAAAAGTTGCGCCGTTCATCACAGAATATTTAAAAAAAGTAAGATTTCCTCCATTAAGCTTTACGCAAATCGCCTAAAACCCGAAACTCTTCTCAAAAACTCAAAAGGCTGAGAAGAATAGGAGCGACAAAGAAGAAGACAACGTATTCACCGACGTAACTCGATCTGCAAATAGCATTACACGTAAAAGAATAACAAGCCCCCTTCGCGGGTTAAAGCCACCGATGCATTGGGTCCGTCATAAGGCAAGGATCCTTTGAGGGGTGCGCAAGACGTCGGAATATCTTATTCAGCGGGCGGCGTAGAGGAGTCACGCTACGGTGAGCTAATGCACCGGCTGACTGACGGGGAGGTGGGGTGGAGGGGAGCAAGCTCTTTGACCGCCCGCATATAGGTGGTGGCGTTATGACGTGTGTAAGAATGAATTGTGCAATGGAAACTTCGATGCGGGACGCCTCAGCTTATGGCTACCGGAATAATGTTACGTGAATCTTGCGCGGGCTTTTTGATATCTAAAATGTTAACTCGATTCATTTATTTACGTAGCGATATCGCAAAGCCAAGGGGGCCTTTTATTAACTGAAGTAGATAAGATTCAAAACCAAGAAATACAACGATCGAGAACAAATCTTTAATGAATAATTTAAAAACAACGATCCAGTCTGCGTATGAAATAATGAGATTTTTTCTTTTGATCAGTAAGTAAAGAATCGCACGGAGAATACCTTTTTACAATTAATCCTATTTTAAGATGAGTATTATTACAACTTGTAAACCTTTCGTGGCGGGAGTGTAATTGGTCCACGCTCATTCTCTAGTATTAATATTGACAAATGATGTAAAAAATCTGTATAAAACATAATAGCTGGGCATACAGAATAGAGAAAACATTCTAAAAACTTTCAAATTATTCTAAGAGAAAAAAACTGCTTACTCGTTCGGGCGGTACAAGGTGCTTTACGATTAACCTAATAATGTACACTGGGTGGAATCGATACAATTCATCTGCACAGGAGGACGCGAGCCGGATCGATGACCTTTGCCCAGGTCGCGGTAAAAAAGGTCACCACGTTCGCGCTGGCAACACAATTAGTACGGGATCCCTGAATAACAGTCTGCACTCCGGTGAACAAGCCAATTACAGAGGCGACACCTGCCGGTGACTGACTACAATCCACTAATTAATTGGGATCGACGCGCTTACCGACGCCGGGGCATTGTGATGCCGGGGCTTTTGTGTTTTGCACCGAGTGCATTTCCCGTTTCGGCGTACAGACGCTAACAACGTACCTGACCTATAAAGCGACGTTCGCCGCGCGCTAGCTACGCGGGCCCCAAGAGTCACGCCACAATTGAAGAAATAAATTAAACAGATAATGAAGACTGGGGCGCTCCAAATGAAATCCCGATTTATGCATGCAACATAAGTAATCAATTTTAACAAATGGCGAATAATTAAGCGACTAAGATGTAAGGATCTAGAATAACAGTCTACGGAACCCCTGTATGAAAGTTGTGCACATTTTATACATGCAAATGAACTCAATTTATATACGCAAATGAACTAAATGAAAAAAAAATTGCATTCCACAATAAACAGTCGACATAGACTGGTGCACAAAGAAAATAACGATAGCAACTTTCACGGGTTGCTGCTTCACCTTTAAGAAGAAAGAAAGAAAGAAAATACATTTATTTACCAAAAAAAGCCTTTCTTTTAAGCTTATTAAAATTTTGTATCAAGCTAATCCAACACAGGTAAACGTCCGAATCGCGCATTACCACTGCGTTACCGAAATTCCGATCAACACTTAATGCCTACCGCTGAGCAGTACCAACCAACATGTTTTGCTTTTTCTTTGTTTTCACCAAACCTTCCTCTTGTGTTGCCTTTTGATGATTTATCCATCTATGTCTTTTGGTATCGCCGGTCCGCATGAACTACTATTAAGCCAGCTAACTGACGAACGAGTCGGTACCTACAACCACGTGACTACTAACCGGGCGATCAGATTGATTCGCGAAGACGCTAATTCAAAACGTGACACGAAGGACAGAGAACGTGGCGTGTCGAAGCAAGACTTCGTCGAACCCGGCTCAATATCCGACCCTCTCCCTGAAATAAAACGTTGCGTCTGTAACGCTAATGGGAACGTGACCTTCTCTATCCCCCCCCCCCCCCCCTTCCCGGGATAATATTCGCCTTACGCAAGCCCCTGCACGTACGCGTCCATTGATAGAGTGGAGTCGAGCGGCGTATCATTTTTAATAAGCGCTCTACGTTATTGTTGTGGGGCGTAGGCGGTGTAGGGGAAAAATACGACCGTGGGTTATTGGGAAAATGTTAACCAGCACATGCGGTCGCGCGACTAACGAGTTACGTTTGTATCAGTTCTCGTGTTTTTCATTACGTCCGCTCGCGCGGATTTGGATCGATGAAAAATAACACTAAAGTCCCGACGGAGTAGGAAACTTGGTAGCCAGTTGAAGCGCCAGTTGTCGATGCAAACTCATCGGCCCTAGTCGCGCCAAATAAGCACTTATATATATTTTTGGTCATCATGAATTTTAGTATAATTAATAACTTACATTTTGCTCCCGTTTTATTAAAAGTCAATTATTTCAAATTTCAAATTATTTCTTCCAATTCGCAATTTATGACAATGAATATATCCATTACTATTAATTTTTCCGCTGTGTGTAAATTGTTATCGTGTTTTAGTAAATCCTATGACCAAAGAACCATCGCTAGTTCGCATTCACAGTTTCAGATTCACATATTTCCGAAGCGTTCCATAGTTCAACCCACCTAATTCCGCAATAAAAGCAAAGACAGCGACATGCACGCCCCTAATACAGTCCCCCTTTACAGTTTATGCGCGCATTAGCGGAACGGTCCGTTGGCCCCGCGCCACGACTCCACTTAGGGAACGTTTTACTTTGGCTGGAGATTCATTAACGTACGACATCCGGGCTAATTCCAGAAGTTTCTTTCCGTCCACCACTTTTCCGTAATGAGACGCCGTATTCGAAATTCAACGGAGATATCTTTACAGAACAAAACAAATAAACAAAACATCTCTTAATTATTTTAACCCTAACGGAGAAGGCAGGGAAAGGCAGTGCTTTACCAGTTTCCCGAAGCCTTTCAAGCCAAGCTAATTTATTTATTTATTTATATTTTATGCACACAATATATGTACACAGTCGTACTTAATGCCATCAGAATTATCTCCCAGTCAACCTGTAATGAAACCAGCCAACACATCACAAGTTATCCTGGTCACCGTAAAAGTAAATACCTTTTATTTTTCACTAAAAACAATCGAAAACAAGAAAAATTATAATACTTCAAAAGAAAGAGACCCGTCCAATTGATCCAATTTACGATCGCGAAAGATAAAATGTGAAAAAAAGTGGAATCCGTCAGACGGGGCGGAGCGCTATCGGCTCGGGTAGTTTTTCAACCGGTCCCGGACAAAAAGCCGCTAATGAGTCCGTCCCCGGGCGAGGGCGGCGCCTTATCCCGGCCCTTTGTCTGGCCCGTCCCCTTCCGCACCTTTCAAGATGCGGAGGACGCCGATCAGCGGCGGCGACGACAATGGCGCGCTCATTAAGAAAATGTTCCGGGATAGAATCGAACCCCGCTGTCGGCCGCACTAGCCAGGGCTCCGATTACGCGTCGATGTGGGTACCACTAGGTGGTGCGACGCGCGGTGGCAAATCACACGTGCAAACTTCACCGTAACCGAATGTCGATTGGAAAATAGCATAAATTCTTTGTCTCTACGAAAACGGGGTGTGTTTTCATAGAAACAAAGAAATACAAATGTCTTGGTATTAAAACTATCAGCACGGAAAGCACTGATGATAAAACACTGAAAATAAGTGCCTTGTCAGTTCTGATGCAACAACACTTACGTCCGGTTACTGAAACACTGATCATAGTAGAAGTTAACTAATCAGCTGTCAAACTTCTACGATTATCAGTGATTCAGAAAACCGGGCGTGACTCTTGTCTACCCATCATATTGTTAGAATTGTAGAGCGTGAATCATATGCATGAATAGGACGCAATGATTTTATGACAACCGTGATAGGGCCACGGAAGACCGGCGTGAAGTGGAAGTATTATACTTCTACGTTTCGTCTGGCGAGTGAGGTTGCAGAGGCCCAAGTTATTAAAACGTGACAACGCATCTGCCACCCTATGGGTGTTGCAAATGTCAATGGGCGGTGGCTATCACTTAACATCAGGTGACACGCAAGCTCTTTAGCCACCTTCTCAGATAAAATAAACAACTTTTATTAAGACAGCGGTAGTACAGATTTTAAATTGACATCAAGAAGTCAATCACCCCAGTGTATCTCGTGACTATGAATGCACAAATACTATTCGAAACATTGGAAGTTAAAAATCATAATTAAACGCGTTAAATCAGTAAAGTAGTGTGTTAAAAACGTTAAGAATACTTTTAATTAATTGCATCGATCATTTGTTTAAATAGAATACAAAACTTATTATCAAATCCACAAATTATTATTATATATACATTTTTTTCAAATAATTTGTGGGTTTGTGGATTTGTGTTAAAACTATATATAATATGTTATTTTGTGGTCTATTATGCTCCCTTTTATAGCTTCCTTTCTTTATTTTTCGCAACTTTCTTTCATAGCTGTATGTTAACAGCTATGAAAGAAAGTTGCCGAGTCATGTGTATGCGTTTACGTGTATATTCATTTTTAATACATTCACTTATAAATATGCCACATTATTTTGCTGCTACATTAAGCAATAAATTAATGAATGCTTGAAAAAATAAAATAGCCTTCTAAATCCCTTGATTTATAAGGCTATTTCATTGCGGTTACTTCTAAAACCATACCTCTGCGCATTATCAGTTATCGGTTTTTTATTGGTACGCGACCTGAAAAAACCTGTGACACGACCGGCCACTTGGCAGGGTACATAGAGTTGGGACCGACCGACAGGACAGATTGCACATAACGAACGAGCCACAAAGAAAAATTCAGCCGAATAGTTCATGTTTTATTCGATACTCCGCTGGATAACATCTTGGGACAGTGACGATGGAATATAGCACGAAAAGGACAAAAGGCTCCGGTAATGTTCTTGTTTAATCTTGTGTACATATATCCAAATCACCTGCGTCACAGTACCGAGTGAAACCAGCCACAGCTGAGCGAGTGAACGAGCCCGGGTTAACTCTGACGTTAGGACGTGAAAAAACTCAGTCCGTCACTTGACCATAAACGCAGGCATTGGTTCTAAACGCCGGAAATTTGAAAACCAAAATAAAACGGGATAAAATCCGTAAATCAGTTTCATTTAATCATGTACAATATTGGCGTAAAAACAAGAAATCAAGACCACGACATGCTAGCCATGGGCGTCAACACAAAATACCTTAAATCGATATTTTGGATATGTTGTTGAGATCCGCCTGCTGAAAGCTGATGAATGCCGGTAGAATTAAATGAAAGGATAAAAGTCGATTCATTTAATTCTTTCAGCGCGCAATTGGATTTTGACCATCTGGTTCGAACTTATTCAGTTTCCTGACTAAACACTCGCTTTCATCCACACTATGGAACAACCGTCTTCAATAGCAAATAGTGGAGCTCCGCTGCACGGAAATCTAAAGTCCATTCAACGAAAACTAATCGTTTACCTGAAATAGATTCGTCTAAATAGTTTTTACGTAAACGTCAAATGAATTATGACTTCAAACGTAATATTTTATGTAAAAAAAAGTCTACAAAACACAATCGCGTCAATGAACTAAGGCGCTATGATGAATGTTGATTTCTACGAATTATATAGAAATCGTAAAGTCCTAATCATAGCCTTCGAAACGGTTAAAGTTTAAATGTAACATAATAAATAAACATTTATCCCAATTGGTGCGAATTGACGGGGTGTAACGAAATAATTATTTCCCGAACTGATGGAGCACGCAAAGTTATGAAGGTGTACCGACCGTATTGGCAATAAATTGGTACCGGTACCGTAAAATACATGTCGATATTTGAAAAATTGGACATCAAAGGCGCCGTTAGTTATTGTAGATTGGCGCAGAATTGAGAAGAGTTTCGTGTGCTAGTCGCCGACATCCGATAGGAAGAACATTGATTTTTATAAAATAAATAAAGAGTTTTACGGCCAAGGAGCAACTTCCGTCGTTGCACGAATGTAATACTACAAAAGACCAAGGCGACCTTTAGTGAGGTATGGAATGACTTGGTGGCGCAGTTACTAAGCTATTGGCTTCGACGCCGGTGTCGTGGGTTCAATTCCCACACAGGACAAGTTTTTGTGTGACATGCAGATAATTGTTCCGGATCTGTATGTTTATTCTCAAGGAAGAGTCAGTGTGGCGGCCGGTCGTAAATAAGCCTGCTGTTAGAAAAACCGTTCACATGTTTTCGCCGACCCAACCTAGGTGGCATAAGAGCAAGAGAAAGAAGAGGAGTGTGATATCAGAGGCACATAATGCACATAAAAACATGACTTTACCATCGGCCGAACGGCACGTTTCTTTGCCAGTTTTTTTTACAAAAAAAACACGAAATCACGGAATCCACGGCGCTGTTCCGGCTAAAGGGCGGGCGGCGAGGGCGACCGCAGAAACTCGCGCCCTGAGCGTTCTCACACCGCCCGACGTGAACTCCCTTAATGAGGTGGGCGAGGAATAATTGTTGCAACACTAGGAAGGTACGGACTGCGCGGGATTAATTAAAACCGGCAGGCAACGCGGGGCGCCGCGGTCAGAGCGAAAACTCCGCGTAAATAATGAAAACAAGAGCCGTAGAGCTCATTCGGCTCTATTAAAATGTAAAAGGGAACCCGGCCGAACTTTTACAGCCATATTCCCCCCCCCCCCCCCCCCCCCCCCTACCTTTTGACAACTTTCTCGGCGTACCTTTTTTCGGTAGACATTATTTCATTCGGTCACACGCCGTTCGAGAGAAGGAGAGTCCGAGTCGCGTTGCGCCTTCTCCGCTTAAAATATGTATGGAGTTATTACTCACCCTTTTCCCGGGAGTAGGTCATGAATAATACAATGGCCCCCGAGTAACTTGCCCAACTTTTAACGCGCACCGCGCGCACTCGACTAGTGTTGTTCGATAAGTTTAGCAACTTTGATCCGTACACAGTGTTATACGACTGAAGTCGGCTCTCGGCTATCTACCTCTATCATTTGTCTCGCTTGGCACTTATGCCGTTTTGACTTAGTCGTTCCCCTCATTATTATATATGTATTCGAACTAATATTCAAACTAATTATAACCGAAATAATATTTAAAAGTAAAAAAAAAGTAAAGTATCAGCTTATGCATGTCCCACAGCTGGGCAAAGGCTGTACAGAGGATGCGATAGGACATAGTCCACCTCATTGCGGATTGGTAGACTTGACACGTTTTCAACATATCTTTTTTGTTATTTCGAAAATATACAGACTTCCTCACAATGTTTTTTCTCGCCGCTGAGCACGTGATAATTCAGTCCTTAAAATTAATAATTTCATTGGTACTGGCACCGGGATTTACACTCAGATTGCTGGAGTATAATGAATTAAAAGCGAGCGCCCTTACACTGAACTATTACGGTAATATTTAAAAAAAACTCTAATAATAATCACTCCTGTTACCTCAGCGCGTATCTAAAAAGTACCGCTTCTGAAATCACGATATGAGTTCCGTACTATTATAAATCATCTTTAGGGATTTTACAATACCAACTATTTGAAATTTACATTAATAATACACAAGTTTGCCATAAACCGATCAGATCATAAAACTCGCTGGCGCAAAATATTTTTATCATCATCGTGATCACAATAAATATTATTACACTACTAAAAATAGGTTCATATGAACCCTGATGAAAAAATACGACTGGAAAATCAATCAAATATTCCCATATGATTTTAAATTAAGAGCCTTCATAGCTGCTAAGCAACAGTGAGCATATCTTATGACAGCTGTTTAATTTATATCTCATGATAGGTTTATTGGATAAAAAAGTTTAAGGCCGGCAACGCATTTGTGAGCCCTCGGGTGTTGCAGGTGTTTACTTACCATGGGTAATCACTTACCATCAGGTGAGCCTCCTGCTCGTTTGCCCCCTTTCTCCATGAAAAAAGTTTCCCTTAGGCTTGTGCAGCTTCGACATAAACCAGTCAACGCGTCAGGGCATATACTATAGCGTTGGCGCAATCATCGCGATGGCTCAAGCCATTCCGGCGGTGACGTCATGGGTATCTATGTCCTCCTCGAGTGGCGCAATTCCTATGGTGACGTCACGATCATCAACGGCCGCCTTGATTGGCGCGGAGGGAAGATCCTTTAAGTTAAGTCGAGCATTACCGTAACGAGCGGTAACGAGCGGGGGGCGGACCTGGCCCCTTCATCGCCGTGCTGAATTAGCTTCACTCTTCTAATACTAATAACACAATTATTATGTAACTTATTAAAACTAATAATGTAACAAAAGAAAGTCTTTACAATATTAACAATAGTTGACTATCACAACGATTGCGAGATACACACACATTAACATTTTAACAATATGGCGTGTAATCCTCCATGCACTCAGTCTAAAAGAAAATTCAATTTTAATTTATATACCGTGTAGAAATTATGTACAGTTTCTTTTTGTAAAAAAAAGTATACGATGTGCTATATTATGATTAAAGATAGATGAGAACAGATACAAAACAGTAAAAATAATAATAATTAAAAAACTAAATATATGCACCGTATATGGAGCTAATAAAGATAAGCTAGTAAATATTCTCTTCACAGCATTAGCGGCATGGACCACGTCGATATCAACCATTTGGCATTGTTTAAAAGTACACGTTGATATATTTTACTGATCAAAAAGCGGTAATTACGGACGGCTAACGATCCGAAACAAAACAACGCTACAAAACGAATAGTTTCCAATATTTTGTTTGTTCAAATGACAAGCTGTTCTACTTATTCAAACGCTCTAAATATACCGCAAAAATCCATTGGCAATAACAATCCGTGCCGTTATCTTGCATAATTGCATCCAAGGTCCGTCAATCTAAACGACCTGAAAAAATGCAACACCAACTAATAGTAAAATAATGGAATATACAGAGTACCTTTATTACAAACGCGATACTGCCATCACCGCAATAAAACGGTGATTTCCATTACGATAGTGTTTAAACCACTCGTAACATATTAGTACTGTACACTCCACTAAAATTTAACGAAAAGGCCGCCCCGGGAATCGATTCCGCATCTTTCAGAATCGTTTATTATTTCTTCTCGTTCGAATAATCGTTGTAGGACACATAAACAGTTTCAAATAATTGTTGTAAACGTTATTTGAAACTGTTTGTGTGCCGTAAGGTACATAAAAATAGATTACGCCAAACATCAATTAAAATGCGAAAAAAACAAAGTGGACAAAATACGTAAAGATATTAGTCGACGTGGCAATCGGGAAGCTTAATGGTTAAAGCGTCAAGGGTGCAATATCCGAATACGGGGGTTCGATTCCCGCACCGGTCAAATTCTTTTTATCCATTTTTCTAAAAATTTAAAAATATCAATTCGTTTAGCTTAGTGACTAAAGCGTCAGGGCGCCAATCCCGAAGACTTGGCTGGTTCGATTCCCGCAGCGGGGAAAAACTTTTCGTACTTTTGTCTACAAATTAAAATAAAAAAAATCCATTTAAACCCATGATCATTTGAACCATAAAGCGGATAACGGTTCCTCTGGCGGTGTTAATAGCGGCACAAATAGTTTTTCCTCCTTCGAATTAAAATCCCCGATGGGAGTAGATGGGAGTTAATTTATATGGCTTCCTGTCGTTGAGTCCTGTTAATATACCGCTCCTGGGGCTAAGCTGACGTGAAGGGGGCGTTGCGAGTGCTAAGCGATTTTCTCGGCTTCAGATAAGGCTTTCGTGAACGAAGTTGTAGTCTATTAGTATTGCGTCAGAGGGAAGTAATATAGAAGCTGTGGATTTATGGTGATAGTCAGAAAGGAAAGCAATGGTGAGATTATACGCGTAAATTCCACTGGTAGGCACAGGGCGGACTCAATAAATATATTAATAAGTAGATATTAGATGCGTTCATTCAAATTTCATTATTTGTAAATTCATTCAAATTTCAGTAAATGCCTTAATTCAGTAAATGATACATACACGAACGACCTAATAAAATTAAACATATTTTTGAAGAATTGAGTGCCATACTGTAGATTGGTTGAGGATTTTAATAGAAAAGTTTTGGGAAACGTTTAATGTTTCGCGCAGCGAGGAACGCCGGACCAGAAAAATAAATTGGCACGTTGCACAGTACCAGTATAACACATCAGATTACGACTCCGCCATATCTGCTAATACCTACGTCTCCGAGTTGAAAGGACGTCAACTATGCTACAAGTGTTATGGCTCCGGTTGTAATCACACCATCAAGATGGGCATTAGCCATTCCAGATAATCACGCTTCGTCCCATTTCCTAGGCGTTAAGAACGAATTTAGGTTTTTATGCAGTGTTTTATATTATGGCCAAACGTTATACGCTTGAAAACTTACTGCAGCGGTCCGTGGTGTGCTTCTTCTGTTTATTGTCAGAAATTGGCATGGTAAAATTGGCCAATATAATAAACAAGTTCGAGTCGGCCTCAAGCACGAAGGGTTACGTACCATTGTGTATAAAAACGACAAAAAAACATGTCTGTTGTATGGGAGCCCCACTTAAATATTGATTTTTTCTGATTTATAGCAATTTTTGCTATAGCGGCAACAGAAATACATCATCTGTGACAATTTCGACTGTCTTACTTTCATGGTTTATGAGATACGGCTTGCTGACAGACGGACAGACAGACAGACAGACAGCGAAGTCTTATTAAAGGATGTTTATGCTGTATGTCGCATAGGACGGTTTTGACGCTTTCCCAAGATATAAAAGTAAACCCATCATCACTAGTTTTTTTTACACAGGATGTTCAGACTCGGTGGTATATTCGTTTATTGAAATAAAAACAAACTTTTTTTTTTTCAAAAAAAATTGCCATTATATTCCCTAAAAAAACGCGGTAGTCATTCATAAATACCAAAATTTTACTGTTCACGCACACAAACGAACTTGTGTACGTGTTATTTATGAATGATCGCGCGTAAAATTGAGTTGCGCACTTTTTGAGATAAGTTCAAATGAATGTAATTAATTACTTATGAGTGATTTAAAATATTTACCATTTTTATATAACATAATTTATGTCTAGAATTAAATTAAGAAAAAGTATCCGCTTAGAAACGGGATCCAAATTACTGCAAGGCCGTGCCATTTCTCTAGTCGAATTGACCTATTCATATTTGATAATACAACAGAAGCTGCTGTATGGACCACGGTAAAAAGTAATCGACTACATCTGCCTTTTATGTCGGCGGACCGTGTTGTAAATTGCCTCTGAGGTGAACATGATCGAAGTGGTCGGTAATAAATTGACTTTATATACATTGATATTATGCTAGTAATTAATTATTTCTTCTTGCGAGGAAATGATGCTACTATAATAGCGCTAATAATCAACCTTCACAGTGCTTGTAATATTACATAGATAATTACATAGATGCGTTTTTTCTTTGCATTAGGAGTCCTCATTGAAATATATTTTTTATGGTTTACAATTCATTGGCTCACACATTTACAAAGAAAAGTCTCATTTTAAGAAGAATTGTAGAGTTTTTTTTTTCGTTCATCTTTACTTAACGTCATGACGAAGCTCACAAAAGAAAGTAAACCAATAGTCATAATACCGGACATTATTCGAATGTTTAATTCATAAATCAATCGCATTTCGAAGAGCATAGCAAAAGGACGCATCGCAAACAGCGTCGATACGACTTGAGAGCTACACAATCTCTCTAGCAAACGCCAAGAGGGCCATTACGCCCTTTTACAACTGTACAACGCTTTCGATTTATAGTGCTCATTCGCTTTAAATCGTGTCATAAAATACAGACGGGTCAACGGCCCCGGGGTCAAAGACCACCGCGACATTCGCATCAACGCTGGCTGAAGGCCACTAAGGAGCTTTGCGACCGGCTGAGCTCGCGGTTTAAAAGCCCTACGAGTTACGTGGAGAAATGAAAGTAGTCGAGACATTTCGAACCTATCAGCGATGCCATTGGCGAGATAGTTAATATATTAAGCCCGACGACCCGATCGGCCTAGTGGATAGCGAACCTGCCTCTAGGGCCTGAGGGTGTGGGTTCGATCCCCACTCTTGAAAGAAATTTTATTATGAACATAGTATTTTTGCTGTGTCTGGGTGTTTATAAATTTATAATATGTATTTATTTAAAATAAAAAGTGTGCTTAAGTGTGTCCATCAGTTGTCTAGTATACATAGTACAAGCGTTGCTTAATTTGGGACCAAAGAACGTTGTGTAAATATGTATTCTGAATTATTTATTTAAATTTATATTCAGTGCCGGATAAACCATATAGCAAGAGTAGCAATTGCTACGAGCCCCGCGCGAAAGGGGGCCCCGAATATTTAAACCCACTCATCTCTGTCTTAGCGAAATTTTTGAGTTTATTAAAAACTTATTAAGTAATTACTCTTACTTACATAATAAGTGTTTATTAAGTAAATGAGAGTATTGAATTGCTTTTTTTAACCAACTTATAAGCACCCATAGCAGATCAAGGACCGTTTGAAAGAATTTGCTACGGGCTCCGCACTTGCTTAATCCGGCACCGATTATATCCCATTATAATTACCGAGATAAGTAATACGCAAACTACGAACACGACACTATTGCGAGATCGGTTCGCAGTGGCCTCGACTCGTGGCAGGCGCGATCCAGTTCAACATTCAGAGCCGACGGTCAACCGAATCGCGGACGGAGGAAAACCACCGCACTAAGTCCAAACAAACACTGATACAGCGCAACTCGCTTAGTATATATGGGTCGACGCGTAATACGGCGGCGATATGTTCGATAATTCATCGCGTTTGGCACGACAGTAACGGTCGCAGTTGCCGGCGATTTATATGCCAATAAAGTGCTAAGAGCGCAGATAGCAGGCGGACGCGCAAACAAGTCGCGCTTAATGGCGTCCCCGTTTGGGTTACGCGACTGCCACAAGTTGTGGGGTGTCGTCACCGCGGAGGCGTTCTGAAGATGCATTCTTTATTTATGGAAACGGTGGCTGAAGAGGCAACGGCTCACCCGTAGGCACATGAACATATTATTAACACTGTCGCAAGACGTCAGCAACTTGCGTCATCACAAGCGCCTTCGAAATTCAAAGACAAATCACACGATAATATAAAACAGTAATTAATCTTTTCCTCTAATCTGAAAACACTGCACAAATATTGAATTATGTTTCAGTGATTTTAATAATATACTACATTAAATACTTTTAAAAGGTATAGTTTTTATTGTTGTGTGTAACTGTCTAATTTTTAAAGCATATTCTTTACTATTGTTAGACTACGATATACTTTATCTGAACCGAGTATTTATTGAGACCATCAGTTGACCCGCTTGCTTGTTTGCCTCCTTTTCCCATAAATATGCGGTTTTTAAACTTGTTATATACTTTACAACACTTGTATCATATAATGCGCATATTCTACAAGTCAACTTTGAATATATTTTACTTTTACAAATATTATATAAGTACTTCGCTAATGTTTTATAAAACTTACACTTTAATATGTCAATAATGAGCCCTGTTATTTTTTCTTTGTTGTCTATAAATTCCTTAACGGGATAGAAAGTCTATTTTAGAAGCCATTTTTAAACTTGAGAAATTGTGTGAAAAATATTTTAATGCCTGGGGTACTTTATTGAAAACCGTTCGAGCACCCGATAACATCTAATGTAACCCCAAACAATGGTATCAACCAAATATCTGGAACGAAATAGAAATATTGCGAGAACATAATTCATAATGATACAAATGAGACTTATCAGTAAACATTTCGCAATAAACAGTATTTACGTCGGTTGCAGAAATGAATGATACGATAGCGTTATGCAGTGAACTGACAGGATTCGTTATTGCCAGCTATAAATAATTTAATGGGGGTGATTAGCTGCGAGTGAACTGGAATTGTGGGTCACGAGAAGAACGGACGGGGAGACCGAGGAGTGAACACAGCGATAGTCGAATAATGACGTAATGCGACATGTGTGACGTTCGGTTTGAAAAAAAAAAAAGAAAAAAATTAAAGAGATAACGTTTATTCTTTATCACGATTGTATTAACGTGATAACTGCACAATTTTAATGATACAATTTTACATGCAGCGGTTCCATCGAATGATATTACAAATACAATATATCCAAAGTAGATTAAGACATGTTTACACTCGTCCCGAAAAAGTGATACGCAAACAAACTAAAAGCGAATAACTATAACTAAAATGAATGCGTAAATTCACGGAAACCAAAGATTGTTGGGTCACGTAATGGACAAAACAATAACTTTGTTTAAAGGTGTCACCATTTACGAGATATTGACAACTGAAAAACTGATACGCTCCGCCAACAAATAAAGAGCGAAGAATTATGATTAACCAGCTGTTATCCGCGGCTTCACCCGCGCGGCCAGAGGGAATTATGAGCTTTTTATTATACACTACTTAGTCGACACTTATCATTACCAACATTTTGTACAATTCACATAACATCTTTATATATTATAGCCTATGTGTTATTCAGATGTTTAAGCTATATTATTGTAAAGTTTCATTAAAATTTATTTAGTAGTTTTTGTGTGAAAGAGTAACAAACATCCATCCATAGATACAAACTTTCGCCTTTATAACATTAAGTAAGGAAGTAGGAATATGGGCGCGGAAACTCAAGGAAACCAAAGTGTCACATTTACGAGATTTTTCCAATAGCACGACCGTCGGAAGTTTTTCCATGGGTTAGGATAAAAACTTCATGTCCGGCGTGTCGGGAGCCGATGCCGGAAATGGCGTCGCCTAAAAATTCCCGCCATCCCCGTTTCGCACTCGGCTCGGATTTATTCTCGTCCGTAGAGGGGCGCTCCTCTGATGCCGCTCACGTAGCGGGCGCGACGCGGCTCCGGCGACGTCGCCTTTACTGGCGACGGGAGCGATACGATTCCAAACTGAGAGTTTCAGTTATTTGCGTCAACACTAGCAAATGTCGTATTTACATGTGTACACGGGTGTGCATATCAACGGAACGCATAGTTTCTTGCATAAATATATAGCTTTACTCTTGTTCTATATATACTAACTTAAAAAAATTATACCTATACATATGTACTGCACTGCAAAGTTATGAATATTCACAAGAACTTCACAGGAATTTTAAAAATATAAGAGTAATCTGTCCATTCTCGAATTTTGTCGAGACGTCGGGAAAGTAAATTAAAAATTAAACGCGATAAAGTTCCTAAATATACGTTCATTTCACAATATTTAAAATCGTTTTGGTACAATGGTAGTATTTCGGTAACCATAGCGTATGAAACAAATTAGCTTTTAAGACAGTTATTACAAAAATTCATATAATTTTACTCAACGCAAGGACACTATTAATCAAATTATAAATTATCTAATGGAATAAACTAAAATCTGAAATTTCCGCAAACATTCCCGATATAAGTCGTTACGTTATCGTTGTCGTGTCGGAATCGCCATATAGAAGCCGGATTCGGCCCTTAGACTTCGCTCGCCCGAATAATCCGCCTCCATCGGACTAATTACATTGTCCTTCGCTCATGCATAGGTAATACGATTGCATTCTAAGATATTCCAACTCGGCATCACATTGCGAGTTTGTGCGAGGTTTTGCGAGATTACATTGGAAAATAAGTAATTAAAGGTTGATAGTAAAATGTATCCTATGCATTTGACAGTGGTAGAGCCCACGCAACTGTCTTCGCTGTTGCATGAATAATCAGGTCCGTCCGGGTAAGTACCATCACCTAACGGAAGACTGGAGAAGTGGAAGTGTTATATTTCTACGAGTCTTCACTTCTACGATTCGCCTGGTGAGTGAGGTAACCGGGGCTTTTTAAAAAGTGGCAACGCATCTGTGTGCAACCCTACAGGTGTTTGCAACCCTACAGGTGCTTGCAACCCTACAGGTGTTTGCAACCCTACAGGTGTTTGCAACCCTACAGGTGTTGCAAATCAATAGGCGGCGATTACCACTTCACATCAGTGGAACCGCCTGCTTGCTTACCAGATGCAAAAATTGAGATGAGATTTGGTCACTTTGCCGTCTGCCACCGCACTCTTTACTGTGGGTTCAATTCCCACTAGGCACATAAATTTCCAAGTGTGTGTGTATACTTTAGCTCCGCAATCACATTTAATTTCATTTCACATTTCAACTCCCGCGACACTGGAATTGCTTTTTATTTGGGTGTAACATAATCCAGCTTATAAGCAATAACAACACGAAATTCCATCCAAATTCGTTCATCAGTTGCAAAGTGAAACGGGTAACAAACGTTAGCGTGTAAAACTTAAATGCGATTAAATTTAAATCACATCAAAACAAACTTTCACAAGTTTATTTTACTCGATAGCACGCGGGCACAAGTTTAGAAAGTTCTCCGATGACTTCATGTGAATACACGAATGTACAATGAGAAATCAACAGAAAATACAGCTGTAAGTTTACTCATAAAATAAGGCCAATGAAGTGTAACGCCCCACAAGCATAACTTAAACAGTTACGTGCGGTTTATATACAAGGACTTGTGAGAAATTTATTCAACTGAATCTAAGTTTATATATATATGTATTGTGTTATTCAACAAATTTATATAGGATATTATATTTGTACAAAAGACATATGTATATAAATACATATGTCTTTTGTACAAATAACACAGGAGTAATAAAAAAATATTAGTTAGCTTGGTATCGTGGCGGAGGCAAGCCCATACATTACAAAAGTGTTTTTAATGATATTCATACAATTTTTTCACGGAAAGTTGGCAAGCGAGAGGGTGATTCCTCGTGTTAAATCGTTAAATAATTAGCACTGCGTGTTAAATATTTAGCACTACTATCCCCAGTCTTTTCTGTTATGATCTAGCGATAGACGCGTCATTACTCCACGACGGACACCGGCGAAGTGATATAAGACGCGCGCCTTCCGGGAGAGGGGGAAGCGAGGCAGACTAAAGCGGAGGGGGTAGCAACGCGGTGTCCGCTTACGGCCTTAGCGCGCGATCAAATGGCGCGCATGGACTTGCCCGGAACCTACAATTCCCCTATGGGCCAAACGAGCTGTGAGGGCCGTTCACACGGAACGTTTCTCGTGCACGTTCCACTGTGGCGGATATACGTAAGCGGCGAGCGCAAGGCAAATTTTCTATACACCCACGATGATCTATATGACGGGACGTTTTTTTCAATGATTTTGATTTGATTTCATTCATGACGTCTTTTCGTTATAGATCGTTTCTGTTTTGTTAAGCGAAATGCAGCATAGTTTTAACATTTAGACAGACCGTCTTTTAACGTGTCTTTTTTTATTAATCACTAATCTTCATTTTGCTCGATATCTCATTCATTTATCGATAGCTATACGTATTTCTTAAGACCTATTCAATTAATAACTGGACATAACTTTTAGTTAAATCATTTTATAAACAACATTTTTAACTTCTTCTATTAACACAATCACTGTATACCATCGAAGTCTCAAATAATAGTTTTTCTTAATAATAGGTATTTAAGTTTTTTTAGCGTTAATCACTGCACTTATATAGATATTTCTTAATTTTTACATAATATAGGTATGATTAATCACTGGCGGTACTAATCAACAACGTACCTAAAATTTCTTACAATCGACATGATTATATGCTGTTAAAATTTGTCTTGGTCTCGAACTAAAAACTCCTTAAGTATTCGGTTTAAAAATGAAGTACCTACTACACATTTTTTTCTAGTGGTGTAAACACCGTTCACGCGTTACATCAATCATCGTCATCTCGTTAACGAAGAAGTCTAAGAGAGAACACAAGAACGTGAGCGTGTTTAGTAAACGCAATTTAAATCCTAATAGCACTGCCTATTTCCGGCACTTAGCCGAAGCGAGACCAGTGATGCGACTCGAGCTTCGAGTTTTTTTACGGTGACTCAAGTTTTCTCGAGAAAAATGTTTTTGCAATAAAAAAAACCGACTTCAACAAACTTTATTAGTACATAAATTTATAGTAATACTAAATTTAATATAGTCAAATCTGGCAAATCTAACCTAAAGAAACTGGAACAAAATTTATAATTTTTTGGATAAGTAACTAATACTAGCCATGATAGCCGTGATTACGCCGTGATAGCCCAGTGTCCGGAGCCGTGATAGCTCAGTGTCCGGTCGCTCGCCTTTAATTCAATATACTCAAGCAACCTGAGTTCGATCCCCGGTGTCGGCACCAATGAAATTGTTAATTTTAAGTGCTGACTTTATCACGTGCTCAAAGATGAAGGAAAACATTTCGAAGATATGTGAAGTTCGCCAATCCGCGGTGCGGCCGCGTGGTGGACTATGCCCTGATACCCTCTGTAAAAAAGAGGAGGCCTTTACTTTAACCAATACTACGCAACCCACCCTACGGGTGCCGCAAATGTCAATAGGCGACGGTTATCACTTAACATTAGGTGAACCGCCAGCTCGTTTGCCACCTTATCACGTTAAAAAATAGAAGAATTTAAAAATGCTTAAACAAATCTTACTTGGGTTGCAATGTGCGTAAATAGTTAGTGTGGTATTGGGTGACTTGATAACGCGAATAAAAGTCGAATGAAGTGTTTAAATTATTCGGGTGACTCGATTCACAGATTCGGGACATCTTCCTCAAGCTTCCTCCAAGCCTCGGTTATGATGCTATTGCGAATGGTATTACGGGGCCAAATTAAAAATAAAAAAACAATATAAATTCGCTCGCTAATTAGCGTTCCGAAAAAACGTCATAACTCATCGCTTAAACAGTACACCTATATCTTTTTATATAATTCTTTTGTGCGTTTTTATGTGACAGAGCTTCTTCTAAATAGCTGGACTGGATGAAATTTTTTGCGTGTCTTCAAGCGAATTCGTGAATAATTTATTCCCGTTTCACGATTCGGATTTCAGACGTGTGTACAGGACAACGTCTGTCTGTTCTGCTCGTTTAATATTATTAACAAAGTCATAAAAATGAACGAGCGCTAATTCATATGCCAAATAGAATTTATAACCTAAAGCTTGCTTTCGTCCACTCGCTAATTAGAGCGGCGGCCCTATTAAAACCCAGTGAGTTATCGATATAAGCCAGCGGGTCACGATGTGGACCAAATCAAGAGGTGAGTGGAAACTAGCTAAAATACAACTATCATTACTATTTACGATCATTGCACAGATTACAAACGGGCAATGGAAGCTATTTAACAAGTGAAATTAATAAGCAAACAACTGGTTAACGTTCTGATAAAAACGCTACAACTCGTTGCGTTAGCGTAGCCACGGTGACCAGTGTTTCTGCTCGATCTAAGTCTAGGCAGAACTGCGATTTTTCACCGCTCCGCCTCTAAAAATCGGACGTTATGTCATACACCAATTTAAAAATCCGCCAACATAAAGCCCCGTTAGCGTTCACACGCTAATTAGCGCAACGGTCAGATAAAAACACGTTACCATGTCACTAATCATAACTAGACAGCGGACGCCATCTTTCTAACGCGTGCTGGTTCGTCTGCCAAATTAAAAACAACGAAAAGCTCGTTAACGTCTACACGCTAATTATCGTTACGGTGCGACAAAAAGGCTATATAGCCCGTAGGTACAGCACTGCACAGGCGTCTCCGCTGTAGGCCCCGGACGTCCTCGCACGGCGACGCCCCCCATCAATCAAGTTTAGTCTCGCATTAACGTAATGACCGACGGCCCGCGCTGTCGGATGTCGCCTTATTTTCCTTTTCCTTTTTTCCCCTAACCCCCCCCCCCTCACCTCTCACCCCTGCCCCGCCGCCCGCCGAAAACGGTCTGGACGGAGGCAATTTGGCGCGTCTCTCGTCGCTGATGGGAATCTGCGAGGGGCCCGGGGACCGATCGCTCGGCGTCTCGTGGCCACGAGAACGGCTGCGGTTTGATAAATTGAACCGACCACTGTACCCGTTCCCGACGTTCACGCGGATACGCGGCACGTTGTTGAAGCAAAAAAAAACGTCGACGATAAACATGATGAGAGTTGCGATCGATTAAACGAGAATTAAAAACGCTGACTCGTGTCAGTTTTTTTTTAACGGCGATTACGTTTGACGAGCTGAAGAACACGAAGTGCGCTTACGAGACCGGTTACATTGGAATCAAATTTTGTAGTATACATGGTAATTAACCCTGCTTGGAAACAAAAACATCTCAAACAAAATGTGAAAATGTTTTAATAACGCCTCTGTCGGTAACTGTCGTTTGAATAAACGATTTTTAATGACCCTTCGCACCTTACATGCTGATGCCCATTATTATCCCGAGTGCAAATATGGGGGAAGTCGATGGATGCAGGTGGCTCAGTATCGCGTGGCAATCTGTTGCCTATGTAGACTCATACACGCTGAAACGATCACAATTATGATGAAACTGATTAGGTCAAATGGCAACACGTATGGACGGAATCCCCGCTGGTTTTGGTAAAGTAACGTATTAAAGTTTATAAAGTATATGTCCTATTGCTGGTAGAGTCCTCCTCTGTACAGAGGGTATCAGGACAAAGTGTGGTGGACACATGTCTTCGAAATATTTTTTATTATCATTTCGAAATTATGCATTTTTCATCGCGACGTTTTCCTTCATAGCTGAGCACGTGATAAGTCAGCACTCAAAACAATCGATTTCACTGGTGCCGGCACCGGGAATGCGCGCTGGTTTTAATTAGACTAAAACAACCAACGCACAAATGGATCCGCGGTTCGCGAAAGCGCTAATATTTGACTCGCCCACCGGCGCGTGAACTCGCCCCGATACAAATCCGCGTTGCGGCCCGAACAAATACTCGCGTCCGTTGGCGGGTAATCAATGCGTAATTAATGCCGCCGTGTTTGCGCGCGTGACTAATCTACGCTCGGCCGGCCCGTGCCAATATTAGTTTTGAATACTGCGCCGTGTTAGTGCGCTGTGGCCGCTGTAGGGCTGACGATAGATCGTGGGATCCCTACGGTTGGGTCAGTGCACGAGACGTGGCAGCCCCGGTTTTTAGTCGGAAAAGACGGCAAAAGAGCCGACGGATCGCACAATAGATGGCTACCACCGGCCATGGACATATGCAACAACCATTTTTTTAAACGTTTCCCTTACAGTAGGATAACATTATCCAGTGGTGTAAGGATGTTTATATACACATTTGGGGGGCATAGCCTACCACGCGACTCCACTGCAGATTGGCGGACTTCACAGATGTTCGAAATCCTTTTTTTTGTGTTATTATTACCTCGTAAGTGAGTTAACCCACTTCTTAAGGTTTGCAAGTATCTACAATCTGGGCGGCGATAATCATGCGTGGAATGAACCCAAACTGCTCGTCAAACTTTTAACACGAAAAAAGTGTATTATCTCTGAGTACTTTTCAATGCTCTATATTTTCCCAAGGAAAATAACACACATGGCCTCATTAGGAACCACGTCAAACAAGACGGCTCACGTAAGCTCACTGCTCATCCAAAACCGGTCGGCGTCGTAGAGGAGAGGTGTAAACAAAAAAAATCCGTACGCAAAATAATAACGAGAGGAAATCGATTACGCGAGCGGCACGTCCCGCGACGACGGCGCTCCGTACGCCGAATGAGAAGCAAAAGTGGAACACGTCGGACACGTGATAGGAATGCGCGAACAGCCCGCGCGGGCGCCAATCTGGAGTTCTTTTTTTTTTTATTAAAACGCGGGAAACATCGCCAGTTCTAAAACCACGTAGAACGCGAGGTATGCACGTCGAGAGCATGTTCAAAATGTACATTACTTTTTTCTTTTTTAACGTAGAAGTTTTATATTCTAAATTTAAATTAGTCTGCGTTAATTTCTTAAAATTTGACCCAACCATTCTATGTCCCTATAAGAATTTTTTGTAATTAGAATTAATATTTTTTATTTGATAAATATTATTATAAAAATTATTAAATTATTGCCATAAGAATAGTTTTTTTATGGAATAAATATTGTTAGATCTACCAGAACACATTAAAAATGGTGTACGAATTTGAATAAAAACTAGGTTTAAGAGCCTTTAAGCCTTTTTACTGAAATTTATGAAAAGCAGTAGTTTGTTTCTTCATCACCATCATCATTCCAGCCTGTTTGAGTCCATTGCTGGGCATAGCTTTCCACCTTCTTATAATAAAAAAAGTATATGTATTATATTTTGGTAAATTTATTAAATTCATCTATACTCTTTACACAAAGCATGTACCAAAGCGGTTTTAATATATAAGGCATTCACTACATGTCAAGTTAAAGGGTGATGCAGATATAAAACAAAAACTCACTCACCAGACGAATCGGGAAAGTATTATACTTCCACTTTACGCCGGTCCTCTGTGAGGTCGTGATATTTAACCGGATGAGCCTGCCCATTCGCGCAACAGCCGAGGCTGGCTGGCGTGGCCCTACCACCGTAATGTGAAAAAAGTATAACACTTTAAAGTATTTAACATTTCTTTCTTTCTTTTCAAACCTTGCCGGCAATTCATAAGCGAAACAGCTATTCGAGATCAACCAAATTAGCATACCGTTCGAGAATTGCGACCTTTTCAGATGTTGAGAAATAATTATTACATTTTCCATTGTAAATCCCACCGTTATGAGCCCGTCGAATCGGAACAATAGCACTCGTACATTCGTCAGGTCTCGTATGACTGGGTTACGCCTTTAATTACACATTCCCCGTGCGAATGAATGAATGATTTGGAGCACGAGGGATTAAGGTTTGCGAAGGTCACAGAGGTAATATAACGTTTGCCAATTCCAATCTATCGTTCAACGTTCAATTGTAAATTAATAATACAATAGAGGTCTGCTGTTGTGTGCGCATCGCAGAAAAGCTAATGGATACCTTTACGGGATTAATTTTTGTAAGTTTTATATCTTACATACTTGACTCTTACATAAAAAAACGCATATGTGTACGTACGCTGCTTACAGCGTTGTTTTTTTATGTAACTTCTTTAGCGTTACAAAATTTTATACCGTGTACCAGTATTGTTTGTGAAAAACAGACATTAAACTCAATTGACAACGGTTCAATGAAATAAATTGAAATTATAGATGAATTTCAAAAAGCTACTATTGGTGCTACATGGTGCTACAATGGCTACCATTGTAACACCATGAAGTTGGTTTCGCTTTTAGGTGTCGCGCATCGGAAAAAGTCGCTCTCATCATTTTCCCCAAAACCTACATTACCTATGCGTTTTTATTGTACATTATGCGTTATTACATGCGTTTTACAAACATAAATTTCACTTGGATAAACATTCAGATACGAAACAATTATCTGTGGATCACACAAATACTTGTCCCGTTTGGGAATCGAAGCCACGACCTCCGGCACTGAAGCCAATACTTTGACAACTGCGCCGCGGAGTCACAAATTATTATCGTTCATTCTCTTAATAAATTTGGATAGCAAATGAGAAGATTAACGAAACGGCCCACTTATTAAACATAATCAATGCTAAACAATAAAGTACCGGTTCCAAATGAAAATTATTTTCTCCGTAAAAAGCATTTGATATCAACAATCATTGAATCAAAATTCTTCATTATTTCAATGAGCGCCTTTGTTATTTTTATTATTGTGGCAGTTAATTACCGATATTATTGAGATATTTCCCTGCAGAAAGGTCTATGTAGATTTAAGAATTACTTTTAAGAAAATAATCAGCGCAAGCTATTTCGTGTCGGTGAAATTAAATACGTTCAGTCTAAATTATTCCTTAGTAGAAAAAAAATCTAAATAGATTTTCTTACTGCTTGAAAGTCAGAGGCAGCATGTCAATATTTTTTATTTATTTTATGCGAAAAGTTGTCAAACGAGCACACGGTTCACCTGATGTTAAGTGAATACCGCCGCCCATGGACATCTGCTACACCCGCGGGTTACAGATGCGTTGACAACCTTTTGAAAATTGGGCTCCGGCTACCTCACTCACCAGACGAAACGCGAAAGTATTTGTCATACTTCCACTTTACGCTGGTCTTCTGTGAGGTCGTGGTACTTACCCGGACGGGCCTGCCCATTCATGCAACAGCCGAGGCTGCTGTGTGGCCCTACCACCGTTAAATAACATAATATGTCAATAACAAAATATAGCATAATTATGTTGTTAAAATTAAATATGTACACTCTCTAACTAACTCTTGAATTTCTAACTACTCGGAAGTCGGAGCTAGCAAATCAATATCAAATTACAGCGTATTCTATAAAATCCATGAAGCCAATATTTAAACATCAGTAAGGCTCGAAAAAAAAACCTCTTTAAGAGTCGTCATAGAAAATATGTATAATTTAAAGTCGGCTTGTCTGCCTACCCCGTATGGCCAAGTGACTTTACATTTGAAAATTACCGCTTGAAATAAGTTCGTACCTCATCCGAACGATTGGCCGTTTTATATTCCTACAATAGCATTTACCTTCACCCAAAAACGATGAATTGGTCGAATCGAGAGATATTGAAATCATAAAAACGAATGAAAATCTGTGTAATAACACACCGGCCGAAGAGTGCTTTCTATTTGATTAAAATGCGGATAAGCAACAACAAAAACAATTTGTTCATTCGAATAATATTGAGAGTCTATTTATGGCTGCTACATGGCAAACGCGAAAGGATCATTTTATAAGGCCTTCATCCAAAACGAAATCCATAGCAACGTAAATTATTAAAACGCCCGCAAAAGGCCACGTGTGACCTTTCGAGTAACACCTTTAACCTTTCACCTATGAGAGCAAACTCAAATCTTAATCAATTTGACATTACCTGGTTCGATATACAGCGCAGAGTTTCTGTCTGGAAAGGATTTTCCCGTGCACGTCATCTCTCTTTTATGCGAGAAGGTGGCAAGCGAGCTGATGGTTCACCTGATGTTAAGTGATATCCGCCGCCCACGGGCATTCGCGACATCTTTAAGGTTTCGGGTGCCTAATAAAGCGGAGGAAGCTCAAAGTCGCTCAACAAGCAATGGCACGCGCTGT